ATCTGCGTGTGCTGGTGGTAGTGACTGCATATCCATGTGTGACCTGTGTGTGCTGGCTGTAGTGATCGCATATGCACGTGTGACCTGCGTGTGCTGGCTGATTACAGTTGTCTCTGGAACGAGGTTTTCTTTCTTCTCCCTCTGACCTACAGAAAATGCTTGCTAGCTAAGAGAATGATAGCGTTTACATATTCCTGTGACACAGAATGCATCACACAAGACATAGACTAGGGAGGTAAGAAAAGGGAATTGGCATGTCTATTTCTCCCCTGACGCTATAGGAGAGGAGACTGGGACTCGGAGCTAAGGTCGCTTGTCCCTTACAGAGTAGTCTGCAGCGTGAAGCCAGGTAGATGTGGAGTCTGACTTAAGGTTCAGGTCTCACATTCATTTCTTCCTCTCCAAACTCTGGGGTAAGCCTGAGAGCATAGCCTGTCTATGTCCCATGATTCCATGAGCTTAGCAGGAAATCCCTGGTGCTGGCCTTACACTGGCCTCTGTCCAGCTCTTTGGTCTTTACCTGTCTGCTGCATCCCTTCAAGTTCTGATGCACTCAAGAGTTCTGTTGGGTGTGATGTGGGTAACATATCTTTCCTCACCGCCGTACCTGGACCACCACCATCCCAATCTGGAAAGTTCCACTTTTCCCATTGATCGGATGACTTATGCTTCTAGAACCTCCTGTGATAGTTAATTTCAGAATAGGTAGCCATTATTAAGAAATTGTGTCCTGTGAGATTGGGTTAATTTGGGGAGGAGTAGCAGAGTGTCATATGGCGTTAAGTCTGATGAATTAAGCAGAAGAATATAACTTTTGGTTTTGGACAAATGACTATAAAGAGTAATTTCCTTGGTCATGAAGGACATTTCAAATGGCCATGACTACGGTGACAGGTGGGGTCTGAAGACCTCTGCGGGGGCCATTCAGGTCAGATGTGGACTTGGGGCTGGCAGATTTCACTGAGGCCAGCTAGTGGATGTTGTAGGGGTGTGGGCTGTGGGCTGTGTTGTAAGCACCCAGATTTTCTCAGTACAGCCATGGCCGGGGCGGGGGCAGGAGAGGAGACTGCTCATGCCTAAGTGATGGAGAAAGTCTCGGAAGGGTAGCGTGCGTGTGATACAGACATACATACAGGCGAAACACTTGCATACTAAAACTGAAAACTAAAATAAATGGGACCACTAATTAAAAATGTGTCTACAGTACCCCATCAAAGCTCAGAGGTGCTGGCTCAGTACCTGGTGCCTTAGGAGAGCTCAGGTAGGATTTATCAGTGACAGCTGCTTCCTGGCTCTGGACAGATATCAGGCAGGAAATATAAGGCTCAGTTGGAACAGGTTTTGACTGGCTGATGGTTGAGCTGGGCAGTTGTGACAAACAGGAGGGTTGACTCTCAGAGTCTTGTCCTCTGAGTCCCAAGTTTGCCCCACGGCCACGGACTGAGGTAGCAGCCTATGTCCCCTGTGGTCGTGAGTGCCCTGAGGCGGGCTTCGCTGTTGCTATTTAGCGGTGAGAACCTTGGTGAGGTGCCACCTCCTCGCTCGCGGGGAGCCGTTTGTCACTTTCCTTTTGCCATTTGCTCATATTCTGGCTCACCCGAGAATCCGTCACGTCTCCTTTTCGTCGAAGCCAATGTGACATTCGGGATATAAAAATGAAGAGCATCTGAGTCCCGTTGCCTTGCGTAAGCGAAACACTTCAGTGCTAATTTCCCGTGCTGTGGGCTTAGGAGCTATGGATGTACCGCCATGTTTCTTACGGCGTGCATTCACCATAAGTGAGGTAGTTAGTAAAGGCATCAGCTTCACTAAATAAGAACACTCCACATGATTGACTGAGCCCATTCCCACGACACACACATGCCCCTCCTCAGCCGTTGTTTTCATACTCGGGGAGGAGGGACAGAAGACACCATGTAATGTGTGTTTATCATGTAATATATGTGTGTAACGGGCATGGCTCACATATCATATGTGGATATATATGTATTGTGTTATATGTAACCTTTAGGAATGGTTTCATGTCTTCATAATTTTACATCTTAATTTGCTATAATATGTTCTTCTTAGATCTAGTGTTGTATATGTGTGTCTGTGTGCGCATGCACATGCCACCTCATTTGTGTGAGGCCAGAGGACATCTTGCAGGAGTTGGTTCTCTTTCCCCTAGGGACAGAACCAGATCACCGGACTTGGGGGCAGGCGTCTTGATCTGTTGAGCCATCTCCAGCCCTAAGCCAGGCTTCTAATAGCAGAGAACCGAAGCTTCTCTGTGTGTCCAGAAGCCAGGCTTTCACTCGGGAGAGCACGTCACTTCACACAAGCGCCTGCCCATTAGACTTAAGGACTGAGATTCTTTCACGAAAAGTTACCCCTTAAGAAATCCTTACTGCTAGTGGGTTGGTCTGGAAACAGTCGGCTTCTGTCCCTGCAGGTCCACAGAGATGCTGACTCCCAGCTGGTTCTGCAGGAGTGGAAGAAGGAGAGGAAGGAGATGAGGTAAGGGTGTCGTATCCACCCCCTGTGAGTGCCACCCTACCCTTGCTGTGCTCTGTGCATCCGAGGTGACGTCCGGAGGTATCCCGTTCTAGCTCCCAGGTGTGATGGTGACGCGAGGCCCTGAGCTCCATCTGTCCTCTGCCCTTGCCACTGGAAACCCTGGGGGCCATGGCTTTGCTTTTCTTCTTCCTGTGACTAGTGCCAGGTTGTTGGTAGCTGGCGACACATGGCTGTTGGCACTGTGTTGGGGGTGGGTCCTGAACACGGGATCCTCGGGGATCCTCAGCCTGCTGTTTCAGGAGTGTGCTCCTGAAAGCCTTCCTGTCAGAGACGTCATGAGTGTGCCTGAGGGAACGGTTGTCCGTAGGAGCCTTGGTGACACTGTGCTCCTCTATGATGGCTGCTTTCACACTCTCTGCCACGTGTATGTGGGTGCCCTATGCCTGGCATAGCCCGAGATGTGGAAAGGGGTTGTTTCTGGAGCTCTTGTCCCTGAGCAGTGGCGGGGACTTGACAAGGGACGTTGAAGGTTCTGCAGAAGCCACGCCTGTACGGAGTCCCATCCTGCCTCTTCCTCAGCCCGTTGCCTGGCTCGGGCTTATTCTGACTTGATTCTTTTGCTATAAAAATGTGGAGCAGAGGAAAGTAGGAAAGGGGGACAATGGGGTTGACTGCTGGACCCGTCTCTGGAGGTCTGCGGTCTACCACTCACGGGTTACACACTTTCAGGAACCTACAATGGCTCATTAAGGAAGCGCTTCACCTGGCAGGGATCGCCCGTCAGCTCCACACTTGTGCCATCTGCACATATTTTTGTTTTTGTTTTTTCTTCTCTTTATTATTATTTTTATTTAGATTGTTTTCATGTGTAGGAGTGTTTTGCTTACATATATGTCTGTGCACCTCATCCATGCCTTGTGCCGATGGAGGTCAGAAGAGGACGTCACGTCCCCTAGAACTGGAGTTACGGACAGCTGTGGGCTGCCTTGTGGGCACTGAGAATCCTCTGTACAACTAAAAGTGCTCTTAACCACTGAGCCACCTCCCCAGTCCCTCCCCTTACATCTCCATGAGATGTTGCAGGAAAGGTTTAAATGCCATCTGTGTAGCTCATCTGCAGAGACCTGGCTGGGGTTTTAACAGCTGCAGCCATTTATTTGGTCATCACAGCTGTCACTCTCCGATGACAACTGGAGTTGTTCACTATAACTACTGAGTGGTTTTTATGCACAGTTGTGCAAGAGAGACTTCTGTATCTGTAACCTGCAATATGCCGTTCAAACGGCACTAATCCATTTTTCTGGAACATTGACTGAGATGAGATCACACAGAGTCTGGCTGCAGAGGCCTCCCGCCTTGCCTGATGCTGCGGGCTAGGCTGGGAGGGAGCATGCAGGGCACTTCAGGGTCTGTCATGGAAAGTGGTAATTAATATAATAATCCATAACGCTTCCATGAGAAGACCTGAGGGTTTACAGCATTTTATTTCCTTGCTTAGTTCTTGGCCTAGGAACATGCAGAATTATTTATCTCAATACCTCCAGAACCGCTCTGCTGGCGCTGATCAGCACACAGTGTGTGTCTGGAGGAGCATGCGTTCACATTGCAGCCTCAGAGTAGTGTTTTAACTGGTGGAGGTGGGGAATGTGACCAGCTAGCTGAGAGAAGGCCTGAGAGATGGTGTTTTGTGGTTTCTTTGTTTTGTAGGACAGAGTCTCGCTGTGTAGCCTAGGCTGGCTTCCCGACCTGACTTCAGCCCCGGATCCTGGGGCTGAGGTTGCAGGTGTGGGCCCCATACCTGGCTCACACAGTTTCTCTGGGAATTAGGTCATTAGGTCTGCTCTTTGCTAACTGGCTACTTTTTCTTTCCAGTAGCTTTTGTTTTAAATATATTTTTACGCAGGTAGTTAAGAAAAAACACTTTAAAACCTTTCTCTGTTGCTCTGTTTTTATTTCTTGACACTTCAGAGAAATGACCAAAAATTTCTTCAACGCCCAGTTCGGGAGCTTGTTCCGCACAGACCAGAACCCGACCTACTTCCTGAGGCGCCTGTCGAGGTTTGCAGACATCTACATGGCGTCCTTGAGCTGCCTCCTGAACTACGATGTCCACCACACATTCTACCCCAGGAGGACTCCCCTGCAGCACGAGCTCCCCGCATGGTCGGACAGCCCCTCTGCCTTCAAAGCCCCCCTTCTGCAGGAGGCTCAGGCCAAGTAATCCTGTGTCTGTCTGTGGAAAAAGCCAGGAGCGGCCACGGCCTCACAGAAGGCCCAGTGGGCCTGAGAGCTGCTTTCCCAAAGAGTCAGACAACACCTTTTGTATTTTTTTCTACCTTACCACGAATACTGTCCTGTTCAGGTAGAGACAGGAGCTGGCCGCCTGGTTCTGCCCTCCTCCACACACAGCATTGAAGCACGGATGCAGCCTTGTTTACTGTGGAACCAATGCCAAGCTTTTGAGACAAGTGAGCCCTCTTGATGCTGTCTGTGTTCATCAGGTCAAGAGAGGACACGCCGTGGTTCTGTGAGACGTTTCTTGGTTGTTTACAAGCAGAGCCTTGGGGACTGTGAGGGCACGGTGACATCTGCCGCCAGGTCCCCCGTCTTCTGACCCTGGGCTTTTGCAGACTTTGACACATGCTGCTCCAGGAGACCAGAGCCTCCCAGAACGACTTTGTTGAGGAAGAACAAGAAGCATTTGTCCTCAGTGTGAACCTGCTTTGTCTGCCCCTTGCTAAGGGGTGATGGCCAGATTCCCGCCTCCCCCAGGAGTGGGTGAGGGGATGGCAGCTCTAGTTAGAACTGCCTTTCAGTCGGACATCATAAAAGAAAAGAAGCTGAGCCGTGGGGCTCAGTCTGTGGCCAGTGCAAGCCTGTGTGCTAGGGCGCTTGGGACAGGCAGCTCGCTGGTGGAATTTCAAAGTTCATGCTGAGAGCCAAGATCACAGGGGGGCATCTCTTCCTCCCTCCATGCTCTGGAGGAAGGAATCCTTTATTACATCTGCTTTTCAGTGTCTTCGGACGTATTTGATGCTTTGAGAGCCACAGAGATGGCTGCTGTTGCGGGGGGGGGGGGGGATGACACAGTCCTGTGCTGTGGCCTGATTAGCCTTGCCGGCTGATGTGGCGCTCCCGCGGCCGCCGTAGCTGCTCTTCTTTCCTCTCCCCCTCCTCATCCCCTCCACTTAGGGTTTTGCAATGGAGCCCAGGCTGGCCTTGGACTCAATCCTCCTGCCTCAGTCTCCTGAGTGTTGGGTTACAGGCGTGCAACTGTGGTGTGGCACTTGTTAAATCTAAAGAATGGCACGAATGAAGGAGGCTTGTGGCGAGTGCTCGCTATTTGGCACCTTTACTACAGTACATAGATCGTAACTATCTGCTGATAGACTGCTCACTGGCCTTTCGTAGGGCGCCTGCCCACATACAGAATGGCTGCCCAGCACCCACTGTGATGCCATGTATTACCATGGGGATCTTGGCTGTTTGTTGTGTTGAACACCGTGGCAGAGGTGACCCTCCAGGCCCCCTCCTCCTGTGTCGTGTTCTAAACACTGGGGCTGAGCATTCTGATCTTTTTTTTAAAGATAGGGTGGGCATTTTTCTGTTCACTTGTTCCCCGGCGTTAGACGCTGGGGGTTTTGGCAGCTGGCATCTAATGCCAGCAGGTGACGCTCAGTACTGTCAGGAGCTCCAAAGGATGCGTGCTGCTCCGAATGCCCTAGGGGCATCCCTTTGAGATCCTGACAGTGCTGAGCAGTGCTGAGCATCACCTGCTGACATTAGATGCCAGCTGCCAAACCCCCCTGGTGGCTAACACTGGGGAACAAGAGAAGAGAAAGACGCCCACCCTACTGACTGGCCTGCGCCTTCCCTTCTCAGATGCTGCTCCAGGCAGAACCCCATGTAACAGCTTCCTGCATGAAGCATGTATTTCCATTCTCCTCCCACAGTGCTCCCGTGTCTTCTGTTACGAGCCTGGGCTCCAATGTAGTTCTTGTGTAGTGGAATGATATATTGTGCCTGTGTGGTATCAGGCACGATAAATGCGACGTAGGTTTACTATTTATTTGGAATGTCAGTTTGCTATTTATTCTACATGTTGATTGTATATGTTGTGATAATGAACTTACAGCCAAATAAAAGCTTGAGGTGTATCTCCTGGTTTGTTGGTACACTGTCAGCTGTGTACTTAAGTCAGTCACAAAACATGGTCGGCCCCAGGAGTTGAGGTTATTTTACTAAAGGAAATCAAAGATCAAAAAGTAATCCTAGGGTTGGGACTACAGCTCCCTGGTAGAGTGCTTACCCGGCATGCTTGAGGCCCTGAGTTTGATGCCTAGCACCCCCAAAAAGCAATCTAATGGACCCACAAAAGGGTACTGATAAAGGGTGAAATGTAGATTGTTTCTGGGGTTTGAAGCTGGAGATTTCAGACAGAAACTTGTGTGAGCTCTGTCTCGGGCAGGCAGCAGGGGTGGGGGATGCAGGTGTGGGGGATGCAGGGGTGGGGGTGGTTGGGGGTGCAACATACTGGAGAACAAGAAATGGCGGTTCGTCTGCTTGCTTGTGTTTGTTCCTCCCAGCCTTCCTCTCTGTCCCCCAGAATGGCTCCATCATGCCAACACTGTGCCCTCTAATGGCTAGTACTGGGATGGTACAGAGCCAGCTAGCTGTCAAAGCATACTGAGTCGTGAGCAATTGTCCACAGGGAGAAGGCACCAGCATGTCAGTCTACTGAAATCTTCATCCCAAGTCCATAGATGTGAGTTTGCAGACCCTGGGCTCAGGGAGACAGAGCCTGGGTTCAGCCCGATCCCAGAAGTCGTCAACCTTGTGTCAACCGAGGCTGTTTAGCTGTAAAAGTGACTGGGTTGGTGGTTTTAAAGCCTTTTTTATTCCCCCTCCCAGCTCCCCAGTCTCATGGAAAAAAAAAAATAGCACAGTTGGATATAGTAGCTTATGCCCATGGTCCTAGCACTCTGGAGGCTAAAGCAGGAGAATCTGGACTTTAAGGCAACCTGGGTGACACGGGGAGGAGAGGGAAGGAGGAGAAGGGTTGGGATGGGGAAGAGCAGCAGCTGTGGCCACTGTCTTACAACACCGAGGTGCGTTAGCACATGGCAACACTGCGTCCTTTAAGCGTGTTGCTCGGATACCGCACAGCTCAGTTGTGTCAGATGACGGACATGGGTGATTCTGCTTCTGGGCTGGTAGGAAGCATGTCACCATGAGTGCATGTGAGTCTCTGGGAGGGCAGCCATTCATTTCCCTCAGGTATGTGCCTATGAGGGGGAGTTCTGCTTCTGTGGGGATCCTGTTGGACTGTCTGAGGAGCGGTGAGACTCCCACAGTGCCTCTGCATTACGTTTCCACCGGCAAAACATTCCAGATCTTCACACCCTCGCCAATGCTTGTCTTCCGATGGGCAGTTTGGTCATTGCTCTCCTAGCGGGTGTGAAGTGGTCTCTCATCGGCTTAAAGTAGATGCAAGGAAACAAGGCTACAGAATTCATGAGACAAACGTTGGCCAATTGAAAGGCTCTAATTAACCTTAATAAGTAGTTTGCTGTCATAGCTTGACCCCTCCTAGGCACATAGTGACTTTTTATTTTGTTCTATAATATTTATTGAGCACATCCTTGTGGCAGGTACTTCTGGGTACTGGGATACAAAGTTCACGAGGTGAAGCCCTGCCTTAGGCACTTACAGTAACAGGAAAATACCACAGGATCACAGTTAACCTAAAAGATAAGGCAGAACAGAGCAAGGCCATCTGGAATGCCCAGAACAACAGACTCAGAGGAGGTAGAGGTCCCTCTGGATGGTCCTGGGAACGTGGCACCTTGCCCATGGAAACAGCCCTCTATTAACCAGAGAGGTGAGGTATGGTTTCTGACTGTATCATAGTGTGAAACAGTAAATGATCCAAGAGACAGCTAGTGTTGAGAATCCACAGTGGAGCCATGCTGGCTCGGGAGTTCACATGGCACTGGCTGTTGGCTGGCTGCTCACATCAGGACCTCAGTGCCCCCAGGGGGTCGCTGCTCTCCACCTCCTGTTCTTCAGCGTCCTGGAAGACAGAGGGTGTCACTGTTGAGGGCTGTGACACTGGGGTGGGGATGCTCCTCCTGCAGCTGTCCCCTGGGAAACGCTGCCCTGGAGCCGAAAGCATGCCCTGTCTTATGCGTACACATTACAGGAGATTTCTGGTGCACTGGTGCCTCAATGTGGGGTGTGGAAGGGGGTGCTGGTTAGGGCGGCACATGCTGGGGCCGCACATGCTCTGCTGCTTGAAGCTGCCTGTGAGGTCCTCCGCGATGTTGGTTCCTCAGCACCGTAGGGATATTTGCTTCACTAGCAAGGTGCGAGGGTGAGCCAGTGGTGATTAAAATGATAAAAGTTTCCTACGGAAAATACTAAAGCAGGTGACGGCATGAACGCCCCGCTCCCTGCCAGAGAGCCCTGCTAAGCCTCCTGTAGTCATCCACTCTGAGCGGCACCGAGGTTTTGACAAGCAGCACACTACGTTAGCGAGGGTTTCTCAAGGGTGTTTGGGTTGTAGAAAGATGGGACAGGTGCCCCCTCTCCAATATTAAAGTCCGAGGATGTAGCCTGTTGGTGTCCTGGGCTCAGGGGTCCTTTACTGGAACTTTCTGGCCACTCGTTCTGACTGTATCTCGCTCAATCCTGATTCTAGAATGTGGTCCCTTTGCTCCAGGTGACTCTGTCATGCATAAAGCTGATGGTGCCCTAGGAGAAGGCAAACTACGGAGAGGTATGGGGTGCACGGAGCAGCTTAACACCCCACCCGCCACAAGACGATGCCAACAGGAACAAACCCTCACTAGTCAATAAACATAATCCAACAGAGCCCACTGCTAAAATCGGAACACAGTCTTTACGTGGTTAAAAAATAAAACAAGATTTGCGATGGGGTTATTTTTCAACCCATTGCAAAGATAATAATTCAGCCTGCTACCACACACATTACTAGCCACAGGATAGTGACTCATGGTTTACACCTACACCTATCACAGTAAATAATCTTAAAGTAGTTTTGCAAGAAAACCTTGTAGTGTTCAGCGACAACCTATAAAAATTCAACTATACAGCCAGGTGTGGTGGCACAGCCTCTGATCCCAGCCCCTAGGAGCAGAAGGAGGTGAACCTCTGTAAGTTCTGGACAGCCTGTCCTACAGAGTGAGTTCCAGGCTAGCCAAGGATACACAACAAGACCCTGTCTCAATAAGAAAATAGATAAATACTATATGTGTTTGATTTAGTGGGACTTCCAGAGTTTTTGTTTTTTTTTTTTAAGATAAACTATACTGTGATTTGTGGGAGAAATATATGTTCTAAGCACTGAACTGACAGCAGCCAGCTGGCTTTGGTTAATATTATACAGGGCTGTTAACCCATAGAAGTCAAGATTCAATTGTCGCCTTGATCCAAAGAACATGGTTAGCTTGTGTGGCATGCCTATCAGGCAAGGATGCTCAGCACACTGCTTAAATTCTTAAAATGCCTTCCCCTCACTTCCTAGCCCAGAACTGATGAAAAACGGCAGTCAGGTTACCGCTCCTATTTCTTGTGAATGGGGTGCCCTGGGTAGAGGCAGAGTAGCCCCATCCATGCTCAAGCCTCACTAACTTAGTCCCCTCTTGGAAGACTAGACCAGAACACCACCTGTTGTTAGAGGCCTCCCTAAGTAAGAAGCGGCTCTGCTCAAGAAAGAACTGAGGCAGCTGTGAGCACAACTAAGGGAAGCCCCTCCTACAGGTCCGCTCCCTTCTGCAGTGGCATCTCACCAGGCTGTGAGGTGGGCTAGGCAGTCACCAGTTTGCTCTGAACAGAAAACTGGCCCCAGGCTTGCTGTCTGAGATGCGTTCTAGAAGGGTGGCTCTTCCTGGGGTGCAGACCCACTGCATTCCCTGGGAGGCAGCATTCTGCACCCCGGCATCCTGCACCCCAGCATCCCGTGCCCCCCACCCCCGGCATCCCGCACCCTGGCATCCTGTACCCCAGCATCCCGAGCCCCGGCATCCTGCGCCCCCCACCCCCGGCATCCCACACCCCGGCATCCTGCACCCCAGCATCCCGCTCCCCAGCTGAACCCTTCCCTAGAGAAAAGCTCAGACTCACTGGGAAGGGGTCACAGGAGTCCTCGGGGGGTGCTGATGGTGAGCTCTCATACACAGGGTTTGCGATGTTCTCGGGCTGCTGTTTGCCAAAGGCCAAGACATCGATGTCCTCTTCTGACTGTTAAGAAAGGAATCACAAGGTTGAGAGGCAGGACTTTCCCCGAGGCACTGTCCATCTCAGGAGCCTTTTCAGGGCACTGTTGAGATGATTGACATGTGATAGAAGGCACTGGGCCCACGTGACAGCTTCCGTGTCTGCCCAGGTGTGTCTCTCCCCATGGCTCCCGCTGCTAGGTCTCTCCTGCCATGAGCACCCATGAGCCCGTTACCCTGGAGTCGTGCGGCCATCCCTGAACTTAGATCATATATGTGCTAAAAATGATGGTTTGAATGTTCTCACCCAAACATGCATTTTGAGCTCTTAGGAGGGCAGGGGACTTGGTTCTGCTGTGGTGTTTGGAGGCAGGGCCTGTGGGGTGGTAGTTCTGGGTACAGGGAACAGCAGGGCAAAGCATAGTCCATATGGTGGCTCTAATGGGCTCAGGCCAGGACCTGGCTCCGAGTCCTCTGTAGCAGGAAAGCCCTTACCTGGAAGGCCACGTGACCTCCCACTACCCGGCTTTCAGGTCTGTGAGCTGAACAGCCCTGTCGATTGGAAGTGGTCTAGCTCGTGGTGTTTTGGTTATAGTAAGAGATGTTTTTGAGAGCTGCCTCTGAGCTCCTAGATGGCCAGCTGTCTTCTGGGAGGCGTGGGCTATTACCTGAGGGTACTAAACAGCTTTTCCTGAGTGTGGAAGAGACCGGGGAAGGGTACAGAGGGCAAGACGAAGGCCGCTCCACGGCTGCACTTCTGCCCAGCCCAGTTCTCAGGGTTTGATACGTGTCTTGCGAAGGCTCTTGGTTCAAGACTGGACCCTATTCCTGGGCATTCTTGGGAGTCAGTGGGACCTTTAGGAGGTGGGGCCTAGTGGTATGAAGTTTGGTAATTGAGGGGTGTGCCCATGAAGGGGACCTGGGAAGCCTGGCCCCTCTTCTTCCTCTCTCTTTGCTTCCCAGGCACCATGAGGTGAGTACTCTCCCGTGAGGTGCTGTCTCCCCACAGTCCCAAAAGCTAAGTCACCATGGACTGGGACCATGAGCTAAGCTTTTCTTCCACATAACCTGAGAACAGAAGACTGGCTGACACATAGGGCCACCCCCTGGTCACCTCAGGAGCTTGCTGACGAGGTAGACTCAGTTCTGCAAATAGGATGGAGTGGGATGCGCTGGCTAGAGAGTGAAGCTGTGCGGAGAGGTGCTAGACCCCGATCCCCAACTCTCAGGGCCAGTCCTGATGCCCACACCTATCATGGTGGGCACTCATCTGAGACTCCTCCCAGGAAGCAGGAGCATGGGGGGGTTGGTTATTCTAGTTGCTTATAACCAAATACCAGCTCCCGGATGAGGACACATTTGAGGTAGCCCAGCCCCTGGAGCTGGCTGCTGGAATGGGCCTGATGGGCTGTGTTCCTCCTGATGGGTGGATGGATGGCAGGTGTGACTGCCACCCGTGGGAGGTGAAGCCTGGTGTAAGTCACCATGACGGCATGGTGCCAAGTGAGGCTGTCCCTGATGTCCTACCACTTCTGCACGCGCCTCCCTGCATTCCAGTTTCCTGAGGTGGCGTGAGGCCCTTGTCAGAAGCCAAGCTGTGCCAGCCCTGACCTTGGACTTCCCAGGCTCCAGAGCCCCAAGCCAATAAATGTGTGCTCTTTGTAAGCCTCACAGTCTTAGACATCCTGGTGTCATGGTTTGTTTTGTGTTTGTGCGTGTGCAGGTGTACAAGGGCCAATGTGTGCTTATGTATGTGGAGGCCAAAGGACAATCTCAGGTATTATCCGTTCTTTAAGACTTGTCCACTCACTGAACCTGGAGCTTGCTACCTCAGCTAGACTGGCTAGTCAGTGAATCTCAGAGACTTTCTGTCTCTCTTTCCAGTGCTGGTTTTACAAGCAGCCACCACTGTGCCTGCTTTTATTATATGGAACCTGAGAGTTGAAATCGGGTCCTCATGGTTACAAAGTAGACGTCTCAGTGGCTGAGTGATCTCTCCAGCTCAGTTTGCTTTTGTTTTCATTGTCTGTTTTTTTTTTCTTAAATTTTATTTTATTATTATTTTTTTTTAACATGATCTCATTGCCTAGCTGGCCATGAAGTCGTGGTGTACCCCTGGCTAGCCCAGAGCTCACGATCCTGCTGTACCTGCCTGCTGAGCACTGGGATTACAGGTGTGTGTGGCCTGTGTGTGCAGAGCAAACAGAGGAGAGGCGCCATCTCTGCTGGCTCAGCTCTCTCTCTTACCTCGAAACGCTGGAAGCCAGTTGTTCTCTGGTTTAGTCGGAAGTAAGAATAGGCGACCAGAGCAATTGCAGCGGCGACCAGGATGACAGCACAGACGACGCCTGTCCCCAGGCCAGTGTGGGCAGGGCTCTGTACACGGAAAGGAAAGAGGTCAGTTCTTAACCTGATTTCCCCAGAGAGTGTGTCTGAGTTTGCCCTATTCTTGCTTGTCCAGGCACCTTGGAGTGATTCATTAAAACAATGCCAAATTAACATGATTCCAGGCCTCACTGCTGCCAGGGCCTATTACTTATAATAACCTAGAGAGATATGGACAGTCATTTCCCCCATTTTTATAGGGGGACTAAGGCAAAGAGATGCTAAGTACTTGCCCAAACCACACAGCTTTCTAGAGGCACAGTGGGCTTTAACACCTATCTGGTTTGGAGCATATATGCACAGCCACCATGCTGTGGAACTTTCTAGTAGCTATCAGCTCACCTCGTGTGCCCCTGAGAAAATGTTAGGATAGTAACAGTAACCACAGCCATCCTTTTGGGAGCTTGTGGGCTGTGCCAGGAGCTGCTCTAAGCACTCAGTGTTTCTTCCTGCAGGCTCCCAGGTCAGAGAACTGCTGTGAACCAGTCTGCACACTGGGTAGATGAGAGAACGGGCTCAGAGATGCTCAGAGATCAGTTTAGGATTTCTCATTCCCTTCCACAGGTTCCCCCGACTCATCTTCCTCTTTTGATCAACAAACTAGTGGGACTGGAAGCTGGCGGGCATGCATGCTGGGGAATGCACATTTGACAGTGGAGCTTCCCGGCTCCTCGCCAGGAGCCTGAATACTCACTGCTGGCACATGGGGGGCTTTCAGAGGCTCAGAGATGACATGAATGAGCCCGTTGGAGGCAATGATGTCCCACTGCAGAATGGCTCTTCCATCCACAAACCTGGTCTCCTAGGGAAACGAGGAGCAGGGAGTGTGAGGCCTGGGTCCTCTTTGCCTCTTCCCCACAGAGGTGGTTCCCACAGGGTTCTGATGCCTCAGGGCCGAAGCTTCAGCCTGGCCTCCCCTGTGTGCCACCCGACAAGCTGCTCCAAGGGCTGCGGAGACCTTTGGGTTTATTCCCCAACCCTCTGTGTGGGAGATGAGCTATCAGAAGGAAATGGCCTGCCCACCATCACTCCAGCAGGGCTCCAGCTCACACTGCACCTCCAGGGGGATTCTGTTAATCCCGGTGTGAGCACACTAGTTTGTGGTGTAGGTGGAACTGAGGCTCCACATCCCACCTGCGGAGTTACCACCTGATAGGTTCAGGTGGCTCGGATGCACACGGATGCTTAAGGGGAACTTGTCTAACGCACTTCCCCTTAGGGCTCATCACATCAGATGCTAGTCTCCACACATCCTGACAGCCCGTGGATCTGAGCTCACGGACACTGTGCTCATCACTGGCACCACCACAACACACGGACGCTCTCATTCCTACTCATCGAATGAGGAAACGGAGCTTAGAGAAGTTGGGTAGAAAAATTCAACGTGGAAGCTCACACGTTAATGCCTGAGACAGAATAACAAATGGACAGAAGGAAAACATCTTCAAAACAGTTTCATTTCTCTGGCTGGGCAATGGTGGCGCATGCCTTTAATCCCAGTGCTCTGGAGGCAGAGGGAGGCAGATCTCTGAGTTTGGGGTCAGCCTGGTCTACAGAGCAAGTTTCAGGTCAGCCAGGGCTGTGCAGAGAAACCCTGTCTCTCTAAAAACCAAAACTCAAAACAAACAAGCAATAAACAAAAATATAACAAAAAACCGTTCAGTTCTTCCGGCCTCATTAACCCATCCCGAGGCCAGTCTGTTGCCAAGGTTCTGGGTGGCCTGTTCGTATGTAATGTCATAGCCACGGTTTGCATTCATACTGCCCCGATCTGTGGATTTAAAGATGACTTTCATATTATAATAGTTGGCAGCTATTGAGTGTCTACTGCATGCCAGGAGCTTTGCATGTGTTTCTCTAGCTCTCACAAGCCCGGAAGGTTTTTCATACTTGGTGGAGCTGGTCCTGCCGGGAGGTGATGAACAGCTGGCCTCCCAGCCTGGTCGTCAGAACGGTGCCATTGACGAGGTCGTCGTAAAAAGAGACGCTGACGTTGGTGAGGTGGTGCTCAATGTCGCGCCCGGACAGGCTCTCCGGGCCGCCCCCCCCCAACAAAGCAGATGAACAGTGTTAATTCTGAGTGATGGCTGGAGATGGCACGTTTTTCTTAGGGGTCCTTCCTAAGGCTCACATGTAACCAGCACATAGGAAGTCATCTTCACTCTCTACAGCGAGTGGCCTGGAGGGGTTCAGAGCCAGCCTGGAGCCAGACAGAGGTGGTGCTCTCTAGTCCTGTGATTGGGTAGTGCCTGGAGCTCACAGTCTACTGGTTGGCCGCTGGGGCGGGGGTGTTGAACGAGCCCACTTCTCCTCTTTGGACCACATCATGAGAAGATTGGTGTGTTGGACTTGTTGCACCAGGGCCCGATTCCTCTTCCTTCCCCGGATTCTTGCCTCTGGCCCCTTATTTCCCTCCCTGACTTTGGGCTCAGCCTTGTGACCTGTTGGCTGGTGTCTCGTTAGCAGACATGACCAGAGGACTGACTGGCACCAGCAATGGAGGTTTGCATGCAGCACCCTTGCCCCCTGCTGTGACCGGTTTAGTCTGCTTGTTTCTGAGAATCTGCAGGGCAGAGCTGCCAACAGGCCAGCCGGGGCTGCAGGCTGCTGAGATCGGAAGTAACAGCTGCTCCACATCTGTGTGTGCTGATGGGGTACGGTACCCCTCTGTATCTGGGGTAGGGATTGTTGCTTTGCTCTGACAGGGTCCTGTACCGTCACTTCCCCAGTAAATGAGAGACATGCGCTCTCGTGTGCTGGAGTGATCTGTGACACACTGTGGTGTTGATATAACACATCCCGTCTAAAAGTGCAGGCACCACGAACGCCACTCACCTTCTTTTCCATGAGCCTACTGTTCTGTGGCACGAATAGGGTTCCACGGATGGACAGGTCAGTCAGGTGTTTCAGAAATGCCCGGCCTTGGGCTGAGCTGTTGGAATAAGCCAGCACCTCCTGGGGAGCAGAAGGGAAATGGTCAGATGGGCCAGCACTGTGTGGGGAGTTGGGTTGGCTGGGGGAGCTGGGGGGCACAGTGCCTCTGGACTAAAGGCTGGCTTCCTTTACGCTTCTTCTCACTGGCCTTTGGTAGAATATTAGGATGGCTTTTCCTCTTCTCAGAAATCTGCCTCAGACGCTCTGTCCTGCTGCACTCTGTGAGGCACAAGTTCCCACTCCATTCTGAGTGCAGAGGCAGGGCGGTGCTGTATCCCACACATGTGCAAAGACACTGCTGTCTGTCTGGAGCCATGGAGCATGGGCTGATAAACAGCTTGTTAACACACATGAGAAACGCCTGGGAACTTAGTCCACATCCCAGACTGATGAAGACGCAGCCTCCTCACCTCTAAAAGGAGGGATACTGAACCCCGGTCCTTGCTCATCTGTTGTCCAACCATCTGGCACGGTGCATGGGTCTCATGCTCGATGGCAGAGAACCCCAGACTGTTCTAGGACCTCAGCTCAGCTGCTCACCACTGCTGGCAGGGGGCCGCTTACTTGCAGTTAAACCTGACATGCCTAACCCTGAGCCTCACCTGCCCTGAGCCCCCACGCTGTCCTCCAGACTCTGTCATGGGGTTCTTTGAATATCTAACCACTTGGGGTGACTGGGCATTGAGTCAGTTCTGTTCCATATGGCCTCTTTAACCATTTTTATAGCCATTTTCTGTCACCTATGTATGTATGTGTGTATGCTACTGTGTGAGGGACACTAGATGACCCGAGAGTTAATATGTGTATGTGTGTATGCTACTGTGTGAGGTACTCTAGATGGCCCGAGAGTTAGCGTGTGTATGTGTGTGTTACTGTGTGAGGTACACTAGATAGCCGGAGAGTTAGCATGTGTATGTGTGTATGCTACTGTGTGAAGTACACTAGATGGCCCGAGAGTTAGCGTGTGTATGTGTGTATGTTACTGTGTGAGGTACACTAGATGGCCCGAGAGTTAGTGGGAGTAATCAATAGTGGAATCAAAGAACCTGTGGTTGCCAGTGGTCATCTTATCAAGGACACAAGAGGATTGCATGGTAAATTGCAACCAATAAAAGTGACATTGCTTGTGAATTTACTGTTAATGAATTCTGATGCTGCGAAAAGACAAAAATGTGTCCATTTGCTTCAGATATAATGTGCTCAAGGGAAAATAGTTACGCTATTTTTTTTGTTTGATCAGTTTCTTAAACTGTGCAAGATGCAAACAGAGGCAATACCTGTGTTGCACTGATGAACCCAGAGGTTTCCACGTGCTCACAGTGTCAAAATATCAAGTCCTTTAAAGGTCACAACCACCCCATGAGGTTGCTATAGGGCCCCCCTCCTCCCATGAGGCCTGTGTTCTTAATCTCAACTGTGGGCTTTGGCTTCTCTCAAGGTCTCACGTCATCATCATTAGCTGTTGCAGGCAAGCCTCCCTGCTGGAGTGGAGCAAAGAGACAGGATACGTACCGCCAGGAAGTCCGTGAGCGAGGACAAGGACGTGAGGACCTGCAGCATGTTCCCACTGCACGAGAAGCCGTCACCCACATAACCCACCTTGCAGGTGCAGTTCACATCTGCAAAGGAGAGGCACAGGGGCCGTGCCCAGTGAGGTGAGGCCTGGGCCACCCTGCTCTCCTGGGGACCGGCTGGCCAGGCAGAGGTGCCCAGGGACAATGACCTTTCATCCGGTAACAGAAGACATCCCACATTTCACTCTTGTTGGGCCTGTTTCCGTAGTCCACTATCCCCACGACGTTTGAACCACACTTCTGAGAGGCGTAGGTTGTGGGGTAGGCAACCCGCCCACTTTCCAGCCAGCCGGCTGAGCAGAGGTGATAGCTGGCCTGCAGAGACAGGGAGATGACTGGGTTAGTTATGACGTCTCGTTGGCTGTGGAATCATCTGGGCAATTCTGACCCCTACCCAGACTGCAAATCATTGCCTGGAATACAGTGGCCACTACTTTTGTTCATCGAGTCACTGGGTGAATGACCGTGACTCTTTCTCTAGGTGTCCAGGACTTTCATGCTCACTATTCTCTTGAGAAGAATTCACCACCAGCCATTCACCCCAGGTCAAATTCCTCTGCTTATTAATGGACAAAACTCTTAACTGATGATGGAGTTATCATCATTATCACCATCACCATCACCGTCATCACCCGTGTGGCTGTAATTGTAAAACTCTTATCAAATGATTAAGATGATTGCGGCAAGAAGTGATAGTGTTCACCCCCAGAACCATAGCTCATCTAACAAAACTCCCGGTACCAGGCATGGAAAAACTTCTTTTCCAGGCAACCATCAGTGGGGTCCAGAAGGCTTCCCAAACAATATGGTGGTTACTCTTGGCTGTCTCCCAGAGCCCGCAGCTGAGACTGTTGCTGAAGACTCTGCACTTTGGACAGAGGACTTGGAAGGCTCCAGCTGGAGCTACTGCAGGCCTCCTTTCTGAGGTCTGGCTCCTACAGTGTTGAAGGCACTATGCGCTATGCGAGCTGCCCAACAGTCCTCCCTGCTGTGAAGCTTACAAACCCAACAACTGGCAAGGTATCTCTGCCCAATTGGACTTTAGCTGCTCACTAGGAGGGAATTCACTGCTTGGTGCTGCAAACTTAGCCAGCTGCCCGTGGCTGCTGAGGCCGTGCGCAATAGAGGAGAGGGCACTACAGCCATTTTCCTAAGCCAGCGTAATCCCTAACTGCATGTTTTTACGCTCAGAGATAAGTGCAGCTCTCGCCCCTGAGTATAGCAGCTTCTTTTTACAGATGGAGCTGATCACAGAGATCTACAACTGGTCAAAAAGCAGACAACACGTGACTGTGGGGTGCCCAGTATCAGCTGATATGTCTGCAACACAACTCCTGTACCAGAAGCTTAGTGGAAAGGTGGGGGGGGGGGCAGAAAGACTCTAAAGAGCCAGAGGAGCAGGGAACCCTGAGAGATAAGTGTCTTCCGTATACGACAGGGAACGTACACCAATATGGCTGCCCAAACAAGATACACATGATGGTTAACACCAGTTAACATGACACTGTGAATGAAAGGTTTCCACAAGGCCCCATATCCCTCAATGAAGAGCCACAGGCAGGTAACGGCTTCTGTGAGAGGAAGAATCAGTTTTTTCCAGGGATGAGATCCCTGGTTTCCCAGTCCCATATAGTTGTCCCTAAACAAGTACACATAGGGGCAACACAAAATGGACTCAGAAGAGTGTGCACGTGTGTGTGTGTGTGTGTGTGTTTATGTGTGTATTAAAGAAGAGGTCATGAAATTGAGAAGGAGTGGGAAGCATGGGAAGAGTTCTGGTGGGGAGCAAAGGGTGAAAATGATGTAAATATGGTATTTATGTATGAAATTCTCAAAAGATATTTTAAAAAGATGACTGAGGCAAAACAAAACAAGTTGCTCAAAGTCATAGGGTCAGCACCTCGGAGATTCAAATGCACCCAGTTTGTCCCAGATCTCTCAGTAACCTAAAGTTGAACTCCTTCTGCATTCCATACTACCATAGTCCACACACACACTACCATAGTCCTGTACACATGCACATACATTCCCATAGTCCTGTACACACAGACACTACCATAGTCCTGTACACACACACACTACCATAGTCCTGTACA